TGACCTCTGAGCTGGGATCCTGCAGTTTTAATTCAGAACCTCCTACCTTCTCCTTGGAGGCGCTAAGCTCCGCCTCCAGCAGCTGCTTCTCCTGTGTCCAGGACGCCTGCAGCTGCAGCTTCTCCCGCTCGTGCTGCAGCGCTGCGTCCTGCAGCTGCCGCACCTGAAACAGCAGAAACCGTTCACACCCTGGGGTCTCCGCGCTGCCGTAGCCGAGTGACGACACCTCGCCACCGGTAAAATCTAAAGTGAAACGAGTGAAGAAAAAACAAAAGCGACGAGTGTGAGCATCATCGACGCTCAGCTTACCGCCACATGCTCCTCCTCCTGCTCCTTAGAAACCGTCGCTAGGCGCTCGTGCAGCATACGGACGGATTCCTGGTCTCCACGGAGACGGGTGCTGAGCTCAGCGTTGTCGGTGCTCAGCTGCAGGTTCCTGCTGCTCAGGTCCAGAACCTCCTCGCGATATCTGGAGTTCTGCACACATCATCATCATCATCATCATCATCTGGATTTCTAAAACCTGAACCAGACACATCCTGGTTTGGAGAATCAGTGTAATCGGATTACATTTAAAGTACTAAACCATGAGCGACACAGACAAACGTGTTTGTGAAATCAGGAGGAATCTGAGTGCAGACGCGTCACAAACACCTTAAATCAGCAGATATTTCAGTGGAGTCTGGTCAGCGCTCACCTCTCTGTGCAGCCGCTCTTCTTCTTCTCTGCTTCTCTCGTGTTCTCGCTCCATCTCCTCCAGTTTCCTCCTGCAGGAGGAGAAGACGCCGTCATGTGGCTCTGCAGCATCACATTTAACATTAAAGGGCGACAACATGAGAAGGATGTCGATCCTGCGCTGAGACCAGAGGACAGCGAACCGGGTCGAGCTCATCACGGCCCATCGTCACCTTTAGCCAATCAGATGACAGCAGGTTCTGCCTGCACACCTGCGCAGCCTCAGGCGTGAGCTGCAGCTGCAGCAGCGGCGCTCACCTCTTCTTGGTAACCTCGTCCTCCATCTTGCGGACTTCCTGCTGCAGGGCGCCGAGTCTCTCCTGGAGCGCTGCGTTCTCTGATCGGACCTCCTCCAGCTGAGTCCTGCGGCCCAAAACACAGAATCAGAACCGCGCTCTGCACCTCAGACAAACGCAGCGTCGTGATTGGACAGCAGCTCAGCCAGTGCTGTGAACACGCGCTACATTCATAAAGCGATGCACAAACGGATCAGCTGATCTGCAAACGCGCTGCGGTCGGAGGAGGCGGCTCAGAAACCAGAGGAAGCACCTGCACAGGTGGGCGGGGCTTCGTCTGG